TCTTGGCTATGTGTGTTGGAAAAAGAGTGAGTTAGGCTAACTTTGGTGTCCCTCAATTCCCAACTTACCTGTTATTTGGAATCAGCCAAATAACAGATATTTTGCAAATATCCCTTCCAAGAAAAAACATCTTTGTTAAACTGGAATGTTGTTCATAAAAATAAAGCTAGTTGTTGATGAGCCTCAGTGCATTTGACTGCTTAGTGATTGGTCCATTCTTTCATCAAACACTTTAAATATTGGCGTTAAAACAGTGGTAAGATCACCTAGTAATTCTTATTATGCTGATTTTTGTTTTTAATCATGTTTGTAAGCAGGTTTACATTAACATGATAAATTTATTGATGTTCATATTCATTTACTCTAAAAAGCAGCTTGTTTAATCTTACCAATTAGCTTACAAAAAGAAAGGAATATATTCTTGCATTACTTGTATAATTTTAAAATAACAATTTCTTTTAAAGAAAGAAAGTCAAAAAGCACAACTTTTGGCAGTTACTCCAAATGAAACCTACTCCCAAATGAAAAACCAAGCATGCATTCTAAGCCAGCCTCATGAGGAGAAATATAACAACTCCTCAAGAGGCACTTCTTAGATCAAGTTCCAGGACTGTAAATGTGAACCTACTGAAAATTATGCTAAGTGAAATATGCCAGACATAGGCTAAGCCATACATACACTTATATATGGAATCTAAATTTGTCAAATATATATGCAGTGAGTAGAATCATGGTTATCAGTGGCTGAAAAGTAAGGGAAATGGAGAAATGTTGGTGAAAGATGTTTGTTGCAATAATGAAGAGCAAACAAACCTGGATTCAGTAAATAGTAGGGGCTATTTTCTTGGCTATGGGTGTTGGAAAAAGAGTGAGTTAGGCTAACTTTGGTGCCCCTCAATCCCCAACTTCCCTGTTATTTGGAATCAGCCAAATAACAGATGAATAAATCTAAAGATTTAATATACAGCATGGTAACTATAGTTAATAATATAGCATTGAATACTGGAAATTTGCTAAGAGGGTAAGTTTCATGTGGTGAGCCCAAAAAAAGTGGTAAATATCTGAAGGGAGGATATGTTAATTAACTTGACTGTAGTAATTATTTCACTATATGTAGATCACATGTTTTACACCTTAAATGTATACATTTTTATTATTAAAAATAAAGAAAATTTGCATAGATAAGTGTTTCCTTATATATACCTAGTCCCCAAAACTCTTCAGCCACGCCACATATATGGTTCTGTATAATAGTCACTCTTACTTATCACCATTCATCTCTGACTGTCAGTTGTGGGAACACAAACTGGTGAAATATAGCTGTTCTTTTCTGAGGACACAATGACTTCAACATTAAAGATCAGCCCCTAAGGCATTGGTTATTTGCAACTCAATCCAAATGTAATAAAAAGCAATGTAAGTCTAAACTCAACCAACAAAGCATCTCCAAATACTTCTAAATACCTTGCACAGGAATACCTACTACATACTTTTCTCTGTTTTCCTACAAAATAAAATAATAATTTATTTGCTGTCTACTCTGAAATGTTGTCAACCCTTCACTCAAATATCAGAGTTCCTCAGCACTTGATATACAAGTACTTCTGTTCTATATCAAGAGTTCCCAGGACTTTACATTTCAAAAAGAATTTACAACCACGAAAACCTGTGTGAATCTCCAATAAAAGACTTTTAAATTGAAAACACTTAACTTTAGGAAACACCTATTAGATTCCATTCTTTTCCTTTTTTGCCATCAAACTCAGAGAAACTCTAATGATATGATCCACCCCCTCTTTTGACTCTGGTGAAGGGCTTCTTTCTCTCTGCTTGTTCGTTGGTATGAGGCAGGGTTGCATCTAAGGCTCAAGATGCATTATGTTTGATATATTTTACCTTGTTGTCCCCTTTTTTCTATAGGTTATTCCCACTGAGGTGAAAAATGTGACATGTACATGCATGCCTCTCACATATATATCCATTAAACTTAAGGTGTAAAACGTTTACAGTCCTACACAGGTACTTAGTCATTCCAGAGAAATCTTGAACATGTTCGCTTTAACTAGAGTGTTATAATCTTTGTATTTTTATCAGAGATCAAAGCTTAGACATCGCCTAGATAAAAATTAAATTTCAGAATCATAAAATTTTACCCTATATTTTGCTTTAAATGTTTGAGTTACAAAATATTAAAAATAGGTATATACCATATGATCCAGCAATTCCATTCCTAAGTATTAACCTGAAAATACACAAACAGCAATTCAAATGGATACAAGCACCCCTATGATCACTGCGAGACTATTTACATAAGCAAATTATGGAAACAACCAAGCACCCAATGACAGATGAGTATATTTAGATGTGATATATACAAACACAATGGCATGCTACTCACATAAAAAAGGTCAACTCTTGCCGTTTACAATGTGAATGAAACTGGAGGGGTTATACTAAGCAAAATAAGTTAGAAGGTGAAAGACAGGTACAGATGGTTTCACTCATATGTGAAATATAGAGAAACAAAACAAAAGATCAGACAAAACCAAACCTAAAACAAACTTTAGAAATTCGACTGTAAGAAGCACAATCAGACAGTTATAAATCAGAGACATACTGCAGGGAAAGAGGAGGAAGAGGGGGTCAGAGGGAGGGAGGGAGGAGCACAGGGGACTGAGGTGATGGTGCACAGGTGCATTGGTGAAGGGAACTCTATGGGGACTACACCTGAGGGGGTAGGGGAGAGCAAATAATAAAAGAAAAAAAGAAATCTGTAAGATTGAGATTCCCAGAGAGGCTTGGGAGGGTGGTTAGCAAATGGGAGAAGGTACCAATGAACAGTGGTGGAGAACTATAGATGCCTTGGTGGTAAGGTGTGGTACAGTTATAATCCAGTATTACCCAAAATAGAAACATTAAAATAAAGGTCACCTAGATAAAGTTCATCTTATTCAGCTTTTAAGGGTCAATAATAATGCATTAGATGATGATTAATTACTTGCATATTGCAGTATATCATCACTTTTATTAATATCAGAAATATTCTTTTAGTCATAGTTTTATACATGTGAAGTCTAGGTAAGCAGTATTAAGACTGACATATCATTTGGGTAATAGCCAACTTCCATCAGATTTCAAGGTACCAGTAGGATTAATAATAATTAAAATATATACCTAATCGTTGCCTGTCTGTTGGTAGTGCTAATTGCTGTCATTGAAAAGACTGAATTGTTTAAGAAAAAGAGCAAGAAAGAGAAAGTCATTCTTCATTGAAGCTATCTCCCTGTATCATTGGGAGCCTATTTTTAGTACCTATAGAAGTCATGATTTTTGAATTTATTAGGGGCTGTGATGAATGATAAAACAAATCATCCATTTACATATCTTGACACTGCTTTGGAGAATACTTATTTCTTACAAGCAAGTGTCACATTGTATATAAAAGCGGGCTAATTGTGTGCTAATCTGCATTATCTAGAACTCTCTGATGTGGTATTTTATCAATAGTAATATTAATTTTACTTATTTCAAATGTATGAAATATCTTCAAAAACCCTTTTTCTTTTATAATTTCTGCTCTCTTACATTGTATAATTTTGCATTCAGCTGTTAATTAAGATTAGAAATGCAAGTTATAGAATACATATCCACTTTAAACTATCAAGCTTTTATAATACATGAAAATACTAATATTTTATCCAATTTAAATGTAAAAAGAGAGAAAGCATTTAAGAACATTACTAGATGTTGTGTTTGTTTTCATGTTTTTTTTTTCCACGCAGTTCAATAGTTTCCTTGATCTACTGTTTCTTACAAAAATCTGCCATGCTTTGTGAACTTCACTTTCTAATCTCATACAGCAACCCTTCCTTTATGTTATTCCTGCTCTCCTTGGTCCCAGAACAGTAGGGTTGCCTTGACAAATCTATTCAAAAGCCATTCCTCGGCCTTTATTGGTGGGGACCAGGGCCTTTGAAATTCTCTCCTCACTGCAACACAGCTGACATCTTCTTCCAGACAGAATGAATTAAGGAAATACAATAAGATACTTGATCTACCAGTCAAGGATCTTTCCACAGTGAGGACGGATTCCATGGTGCTCAACCAGGGCAGCAAGCATCTAAAAATACACAATACATGCTTGTTTACCAGAATAGCAATCAGCGATTTTTCCAACATGATTGATAGGATGATTTCTTTTAAAATGAAAACTGTCTGGAAAATCAGAGAGCGAGGAGAGAGAGAGAGAGAGAGAGAGAGAGAGAGAGAGAGAGAGAGAGAGAGAGAGAGAGAGAGAAAACGTGGGGGGATATTTTGGAAATGTTTTTAAAGCTATATGAAGTTAATCACATTTTTTAAACCAGATTTCAAATTCAGACTTCAATATATGGAAAGAATACAGTTATTTTTATTTCATTTGTTTGAGTTGTAATTCATCTTTATCTTGGAGGTTATCTTTAATATTGGAGATTTTGTGTCCTCAGACACACAGCTATAATTCACCAGATTGTGTTTCTTTTGAACTATTTTGATACAACCCTCTTTTGGACAGTTTGAAGTAATAATTAAAAGATGGTGTGTTTACAAGAACCACATTTTGAAGAATAAATGAAAATTTTCTTATAGTATTACAGAGAATGTGGCTTAAAAATGTAACTATTCTTTCACATATTTAAATTAATATTTATTTCGACTAAAAGTTAAAAATGGATGCCTTTTTAAATTTCACTTCATTTTAATCCCTATATGTATTTGTTTACTTCTTGGACATCTAGCCTTCTCTTAGAAATATATTACAGAAGATAAACTTTATTCCACATTCATGTTGATCATGAATAATTACTGACTGTTTACATATGAAAAAATTTTACAGTGTTTGGAAAATAAATTGAATATACTTCTTAGTGATGCATTATATAGACAAATTAATCTCTGCTGCCTAAAGTGTTGGTGTGGCTTAAATTATGTTTCAACAGAAAATTGTCTCTATTATATTACAGAACTGTTGTAATTGGGTCTCTAGCTCAGAACCTCTAGACACATCAGTGGAATCTATGTTGCCTGACTGTCCCCGAGTCTCAGCAGGTATGTGTTTTGATGAGAGATGTATGATTTCTTTTTTAAGGTGAGAAAGAAATATGCTAATGAAATATAAGATTCTGTTTTGTGAATTAAGCATGTTGTTCTGCTTTGAATCACTGAATGAATTATTGGTAACATATGGCATGGGTCTGATCCACTAGCAGAAATTTGTTAAGTAGCTGAAAATGCTTACCCACAAACTCACTAAAGATGAGTAGGTGAAGCAATTTGAAAGTAATATAGGCAGTTGCTGTTGCTGTTGAGATTATATGTGGATAAATAAAAAGTTGATTAAGAAATGGACTTCGTAGCCATACAGGATCTCAAACAAAATATTTGCCTCTGATTCAGTACCAACCAGTGAGAATCAAGGCTAGAAGAGAAATTGCTGTGACCTACAGTCTTTAGAAAAACATTTCATGAAAAATATTCTGGACTTTATCATTCTTGGCTGATAGTTATTCTTTCACTACTGATATCCTCTAATTTCAAGGCTGAAAGGTGAAAGTAATTAGTAGTAGTAGCTGTTACATCTTACATTAGAGGATAAGGGGGAAAAGGAGGGAAAAAAGCAAAAATATATAAGGGCAAAATGTTCATAACTATTATTCCTCACTTTGCAATTGGTCATATATTTGTAGCTGATATGTATAACTGACTTCATGCCATATTCCCTTTGCTCTTAATATGCTCCTCAACTGGCTATTGTTCCTTGCTAGGGAGGATGACCCACCCCTTCATTCTTGAAGAGTCTGGGTCATTAGTAATGCTGCATGAACTAAATTTTATGGGTTTCAATTGATACTAATCACGGGAAGTAATTATAGATGTCCTAGAGGATTTTCTGCATTACACACATATTCCTCTTTTCCCCTATTTTGTAGTAGCAACTCAATATTCCCTTAATAATTGGTATCAGTCACCCCAAATTGTACAGTCACACTCTCCCTTGCTTGTTGATTCAGTGGTATTAAAGCTCAAAGTTGCAAGATGTCAGTGTCAGCTTCAAGTTCAATGAATCATTGTTATGTCACCTGATAGACCTTTAGATAAACAGAGCCTGAAGTCAGAGAGTGGGAAGCAACAGTTTTGCAAATAGATCACTAAAGGTAATAGGAAGAGGGGCCAGTCCCATTCATTCCCAGAGCTGGAGGAAGTAACAGAGTACATTAAATGCTAATTTATAGCAAATAACACATTCTGAAGGCCATTGTCTTAGCCCCACAAGATATTGTCACCAAAGGAGGCACCCTAACTGAATTGTGAAAAAGTCCTTCTACTGTTCTATCAAGCCTGCTGCTTACGGCAGCAGTGAGTGTATAAGATCAGTGAGTGTTGACAGAGTAGGCACTTTTCTTGTCCTTTCATTTGCTCTTTGGTAAAGGCCAGCCTCCTTCTTATGAGCTGCTCCATGGAGAAGCCCACATGGCAAGAAATTACTATGACTAGGCAAGAGCCAGTGAGGATCTGATGCCTACCAATAGGCAAGTAACTGACACTGTTACAGGAGCCTCTCCGAGTTGACCCTTGAGATATGAAAACCGCAACCCATTCCTAATGTGGCCTTGTGGGAGACCCTAAATTAGAATCACCCAGCTAAGCCATGTTCAGATTCTTAACCATCAAAAACTGTGATAAATGTATAATGTTTTAATCTGCCATGTTTGGAAGATAGCAATAGAAAACTAATACAAGAGGCTTAAATTTCAACTCTGGTGGCCAGTCACTCAAACTAAGTAGAAACAACCTCTAAAAAAATTTTTTTTTTAGATAAAACCTTGTAAGGTTCCTCTTTGCTTTGATACTTTAGTATTTAAGAGCAACACTTTGTTTAAAAGCACTAAAAAGTTAATTGAAGACAGTTCATTCCTACCCTTGCCTCCCCACTACCTGATAGACTATGCTGTACAGTTTATCAAAGATAATATATTAAGTTTATTCTATACCACACTCAATAGATTTTATACTGTCTTGTATAAAATTCAGCTCTTCTCTGCCCAGTTTTTCCTCTTAGGACAGAATTTGCTATTCTCAGTAACCTAGATTGAAGGTGAGATTTTATTCTAAAAAATTTGTCGTAAATCAAGAGATTTTATATTCACACCTCAACATATGTCCATTTATTCAAATATTTATTGAGTACTTACTATTTTCCTTAAATAGCAGACTTGATAGGATGACTGTTCTGAATGGCGGGGACAAAGCAGTGAGTTGTAGTTTGTGATGACTATCTTTTTCCCTAGAAATTATTGTTACAAAGTGTTTCCTGGCCCTCTGCTAGTGGATGGGCTCATTCTTTTGAAACTGTATTCAACATGAAGGTGCATCAATGAAAAGGGCCAACACTTCCAGCGTTTTCCAGGGTTACTTATAAAGAACTGTGTAGATTTTCAACCAAGATCAGTGGTTTCCCCTCAAAGAGTCCTTAAAATGCTAAACAGTGTGACATGATCAAAATGGGATTTTAAAGAAATATTAATTTGGTAAACGGATAAAAGAGAATGTCAGATGATTTTACATGTATGTGGAACATAGAGAAACTGAACAGTGGATCAGAAAAAAAGACAAAACTTGCAAGCTGACCACAGATCTGAGACATACAGCCAGGAGGGGTTGGGGTTAGAATCGGAGGGAAGAATCCAAGGGAGGGGACTGTGGTCTGTGAAACAAGTGCTATGGTGGGGGGAGAACTGAGGGACTACACCTGAGGGGAGAAATCAAATTGTTTAAAAAAATTAACAATGATGTAAGAAAATAAATTTAATAAAGGGGGGGGGCAAGAAGCCAGAGGCAGTAGACTAATTAGACTGTGATGATAAAGGAACCATATTAAGTTGATGGCATGAGCTGGAATGGTGGCAGTGGCACTGGAGAGGATAAAAGAGCTCTAACAAATATAACTGGGAAGAATCTACAATCCTTGATGATAAATAGATTGGATCTGGAGATTAAAAAGTAACTGGAATAATGAAAATATCATTTCCAGAAGTTTAGAGGGGTGAGTGGAGGAAATAGGGTAAGAGATGATGAAATTGTGTTGTGACCTACTTGAAGTGATGAGAGGAAATACACATGGAAATAACCAAAAGCTGTTGAAGTACCTTTGAAATTCCTACATTTTCTGATCAATAATCCTTTTATCTTTAAAATATTAAAGATTTAAAAAATGTGCTGAACCAAGTTAGTAATAGATGTCCAGATCATACATTTAATTTAGTGAAGTCTCTTCTTTCCAACTTTTTTAATTATGTTTTTTTTCTTAAGTTTTGACATGCCTTCATCCATTGACTTAATGTTTCATGATTATCACAATGAAATTACCTGTTAAAATACATAATCATTCAATATTATGTCTTCCCTTTATAACTAAATGTTTCCCTTTACAAAATAGTAGATCTGTTCATTAAAACTTTGTTTTTTGAATGTTTCTGATGAATATATATTTTTTAAACAGATTTAACAAAAGTTTAAGTGGTGCTTAAATATCGCTAATAATTATTTTCATTACAGTCATGTTTTTAGGAGTGGCAATGTTGTACCTTGTACTTAAAATGAAGTCTGACTTTTCAGTAATTAAATAACAGAGTGAATGGTGGGAATCCATGGCAAATATATGTCAAATGAGTAGTTCCTCAACTTCCTTCTATTGTGTAACAGTGTTTTCTTACTGGTAAAATCAGCCAGTTTAAAAACAGTTATTCAGGCAGACAAAAGGTGAAAATGAGAACATTTTAGGGGCATGCTCCTGATTGGTGCTTCCCAACCATGCCGTTCAAAGCCCCACATCCCAAGAGGCAAGGTTGCTCTCCTGAAGTTAGGCATCTGGTCCTGCTAGATGTTCGTTTGTTGCCTTAGCACAGGGTACCCCCATATCTGCTCCTGTACCTGCTGCTTCTAAGTCTTCTTCAAATAAAGGCTGTTCCAACAGGTCAAAAAAAGAAACTTTGTGTCTCCAGGGCTTTCCCTGGTGGCGCAGTGGTTGAGCTCTAGGCTGCAAAGATGCCCACAGCTCTGATGCCCCGGTTCTATCCCAGGCCACGGGCGAGGGTCCCACATGGCGCAGAGACCTCTCCTGCCGCGTCCACTGCTTCCCTCAGCAGTGTATTTCACCAGTCTGCCTGTTCTGTACCCCACTCTGGCTCTGGTCAATTCTCTCACCCTCCCGTGCTTCTGACTATACTCAGTGCTTGTATAAATAAATAAATAAATCAATCTTTTTTAAAAAATTAATAAATAAAAAGTTATTCAGGGAATTATACAATGTTGAATTGGATCAATATTTATTGAATAGCCCACATTCTCATTATTTGTTTGTTTGTTATAAAGTGACAATAGATCTATCTCACTCATAGAGATGTTATGAAATGTTAGAACTTTTACAGTATCCAGAGGAGATATTTTTAGTTTGTCAGAAGGAAGTTACCTCAAAAATATGAAATATGGGGCCTCCCGGTGGCGCAGCGGTTGAGCGCTGGGTTGCGAAGCTGCGCGCGGCCTCTGCGGCGCCGGCTCGATCCCCGGCTGCTCCCCGGCCACCGGAGGAGGGTCCCACATGGCGCGCAGACCTCTCCTGCCGCCCGCTGCTCCCCTCAGCAGTGTACTTCGGTCCTTCTGCCTGCCCTGCTCCCCGCTCTGGCTCTGGTGAATTCTCTCGCCCTCCCGCGCTTCTGACTGTACCCAGTGCATATATAAACAAAACAAACAAAGAAACCAGCAAACAAATAAATAAAGCATGCCTCTATAAAAAAAAAAAAAAAAAATATGAAATATGAAACTGAGCTGAGATATGAAACTGAGCCCTGGATATTACCTAGTTTTATAAATGATTGATAAATCAGTAAAAATCAATTAAATATATATGTGTATATATATATATAGCAGTACTCTTAATTTTCATTAGCTATTTTAAAATTTAAGGCTTAGTTTTTTTAACTATTATTATCTTGATTGAAAGGAGTGAAAAAGCAATTGTAGAAGTAGTCAGTCTTCTATTTCCTTGTCTC